TTCATCAGTACCCTAGCAGGTGGAAATTGTACCTAATTAACATAAGCTACGTTAAGCGCAAAAATACGATTTATTATTAAAATGCTAATTAAAGTTTAAAATTGATTTCAATGGTTGTATTTTGCGGAAGTGAAAAACCTTATATGATACCATAAAAAGATGATCTTATTCATCTTTTACATAATGACAAGGCAAAACAGCGGTAACCCATCTTTAACTGTTTGATACATTTATGCCTTTGATGACGCCTACATCTCGAAATTAGCCGATGGCCGCGAAGGCAGTTCATGATATAGGTCTCGTGAACTCAGTTATTGTTGGTAAATGGACACAAGGTTATTAACTTGCCAATCGATGTGTTCGACACTGTCATTTGAGTAGCAAAGGAAACCATACCGTTCCGGTGTACTTGTAGGACTTCCATCACAGCCTAATCACATTTGACCGCTGTTGAATATACTTAGCTATAAGAATGGTAATTGTCCTGTTTTCAGACACAAAGAGACTTACTATTTACTTATTTTCTCCGACAACTACATATAAATGTTATGTATCCCATGATATGTGTATACAAAACTCGTTTTTATATTGCTTCCGGCTCATTTTACTTGAATGTATAAAAATTACTACACAATGTCGAACTAGCATTTTTAGCTCAAATGAAAGGAAATATGACGTTCAATTCGTTGATTTGTTATTCACGAGCTGTTCGACGGTTGCGTGTGATTTATATCGACCCAATTGACATAAGTATAGTTATGTATCGGTTACAAACTGTGTTCCCTTAGACAATGTACGANGCAGAGTTATCTTCTCTTGGGAGCAGGTATTGATTGTTACGTCATTGGTTTGTGCGAGAAAATTACGTCGTTTTCTCAAAAAGTGATGACGTTACTCTCACAAACAAGTGACGTAACAATCAATACCTGCTCCCAAGAGAAGATAACTCTGCAATACGCAAAGACGGAATAGTGATGAGTCTTTGATAATGCAACGAAACATAATCACAAGCAGTTGTTGATGATTTTAGAGTAGCATTTCAGACAATGACTCTAAATGGAGATGACACCTGTCATCAGTTAACCTTAATAAAGGCATGTAAAACAATCAAAAGCGTTACGGCGTCAACAAGTCGTGTTCAAAAAGAACACGTCTACAAATCGAACGGTTGTTTCAGCTTGTCACTCACTGTATTGATTGTAATACGTGGCCTTTGGTAAGGAAAATGCTCGGGTAGAGAGATTTAGTAAGACGGATAAAAACACCGAGCCCTTTTTTATTTTTATTCTTCTCAAGCTTAAATGGAGTTACATCTATGTTTGCTTGTTTGCTTGTTTGGACTGTACGACGTCACAAAGGGAATTATTGAAAACCTATCATACCATGTAATTCATAACAATGTAGATATTAAGCAAAACAGCAACAGGGGAGCATAAACAAAAGTTTAATTCGAACTCAAAATCGCTAAAACTACAGCAAAATATGAAAGTGACTAAAATACGTAGAGACTATTGAAAAACAGTTTCGAAGGAATAGCACTTAGTGTTTAGAATACGTTGGATTACAGTACAGGAGGCTTCGACATCAAACGTTCACATTCCGATTCCCTTAGTGATTGCAAACGTTATTTTTATACTTAAACCCAAAGTGGGAGATATTTTCTCAAATGATCTTCACCCTCTGGTGGTCATATGGTCACGACGATTATGGTTGGACACGTTTACAATCAATATTGGCTCGGTAGTGTGAATTTTCCGTAGGATACAATGCACCGTCGACAATGTCTTAAAACAGGGCTACGTGTTAAGGTTTGAAGTGGAATGACACGAGTAAAATCATCTTTCGTATAAATCTTATATACTTCAATGTACAAAAAAATTCCATAACCACAATGAAAACAATGAACAAAAACCCTAACGCCTTACTAAGGGTAAAGCTTGTCAATCATTTAACATTATATTGGATTCACAATTGTCTCCTGCTTACGTTGAATTAGCATTTTAATAATGCTTTAGATGTAAGTAGTTATTTATTATTAAATTAATCTTAATTATGTGTGAGTTCGATAATAGAAATTTACTGTCGCGAGTCATGTGGACCTCACTTTCGTTTTGAATAGGTCAGTTGGGAACAAACGTACATTGTCGTGCAACATCAAGCGATCCGTTATTCCCGTCACAGAAATGTCCATTTTGTCAATGTGTGTTGTGGTAATAAAGGGGTTACCGTTGCTCTGTCGCGTCGTTCATCATTAGAGCTTAGTTTGTCAGGACGCTCACACCAATCAGGGTACTTGAGGTACAGCTCACCGGCAATTATCTGTGGCACGATAAATGTCTTTTCTTCATCATGGACATTCGGTTGGCATTCATGCTTGTTAGAAAACAACCAAATAATATCAAATGCACATGGAAAATCACATACATGTATTTAAACTTCTTTCAGTCTCTAAAATAAGGCAACAGATTTTGAATAAAGAGACAACATTAATTCCCAACAGAGTTTTGTGAGAGGTTAAAGCGCCCCGCCAGGGAGATCTGATCTATAAGTTTTTTTTCTTCTTTAAAATGTATATAGAACCTGTATTTTACCATTACGATAAGACGACTTCTAAAATGTTTTCTAAATCTATAACCTTTTAAGATAAGCCCAATGTTAAATTGCTTTTGCGTTATACAATAAATACCGTTTCCCAAACAAATAAAGTATAATAAGGATGGAAGACATTCGATAGCGAATCAATAACGAAGGCATTTATCTCTGATGAACCTTTATTTAATATCCATGACCAGCGGAAAAATAAATAGTATTTTAAGGAAAGAGATTAGCCTATATCCCCCTTAGAGTACAACAGACGGTATACAAATTAACCAAATGATATTGCTTTTTGGAAATAGTGCTACATCATTGATTGATATTGGGATTTTCAGGAAAAATAAGTGTTAAGGTCAGATTTTGAAGCAATTATCTACACTAATGGAGAACATGGAACCATTGTTTATCCTGTTAAGCAATCAAGTAGTGATCCAATCCTTTGATGTTCAGCAGTGACCACACACGAAGTGTTAGATGGCTGTCTAGGTGTCAACACGCTCATTATGACCAACAGACAAATGCATGTTTTTTTATTCTAAAACATATGTTTTTTCCCTGAGATATTGAAAAGAACACATATTTTGAAAGTCATGTTACAGACGTACCGACCCACCCCAATTAACGGGTAACTACATACTGTTTCATTTCTTATTGATGAGAGGTTTATGTAATGCTCCATCTGAGGATTGTTTTTTTTACTAGATTCTGTAACCCCATGCAGACTCCTAAACCCTCTGTAAGTAGTTGTCTTGTCTATAAACATGAACAGGCAAAAACCAATGATCTCAAATCTAAACAGTGTTAATCTGGCTAGAGCTTACATCAAACAGAGTGCAATTATAAGTAGAGAAAAAAACATCACACAGAAAGCGCTTCCAACCATTAATACAGCAGAATCAATAATCAAGAACGGTCAATTACCCAGTCTGGTCGTTTTTATCCCGAATGCCTCCTTCCCTACAGAACGGACATGCAGTGGAAAGGAGTTATGTGGCCGAGTTCACGTGAAGTGCGGATGAATATATCGGTTTGATGTTTCTTAAACAAATTGTTTGCGGTATGAGGCTATCAGCTGTTCCATGTAATGAGAAGGGCTGTTTAGTTGTAATCCTTCGTCGGTTGAGTGCCTAATTGGACCAGTGCTTTCTATAGTATATACTAGCTATTGGCCTAACATATCTGTTTTCAAATAATATGTTCTCGTAATTAATCATCGTCTGATTTCGCTGGCTTCCCATGTCAAGGGCGCTTTTGATATATACCAAACATTTATCTCATACGTTCAACATCGAACAAGTGTTTGTTTAATGCTCAGAGAAACCATTAGTGTTGTGTTTTGCTCCTGTAGGTGTATACAGTATATTTCTGTGATTAAACGATCCGTCGACAGATAGGTCAGGGTCGTTTTTACTGTCTGCTATATGTCATGTTGCTTAGTCAGTTTACTCGTATTTTCAGTTGCAATGCTTGGTTTTGAAATCTTGCCCGAACATTTATTAAAGTATCATTTACATAGTTTTATATATTATATGGCTAATACATTTATTGTATTGGACACGAAAATGTAGGGGACAATTTGAAGCTGAGGATTAATATTCTTTAGTAACTACACTGCATGTGAAGTAATATTTTAAGTAAAACCTATACGTTTACAGACACATACTACAATTGGCCTGCTGCTTCTTCAACTGATGGTGTGGGAACAATACCCAACAGTTGGCATTTTGTATCGCACAACATGATCGTATGTGTAAGAGTAACGTGAGTTAAGGATATGCTGCCACCGTTGCAACACTTATAACCAAAGATATTTTCCTTTCTTTACTTTTTAATTTGGTGTGTAATTAAATTCCTTACATCACCACCATGTTGTTTTTAAATATATGAAAATGTATGCATTGGGCGTATGCATGTACACTTTAAGACCTCTTATCTAAGTGATGTGCACACTCACACTAAGAAATACATATAAAGATAATTTTGTAGAGAATTAGTAATATAGTAGTAAGGAAGTGCTATAAATAGCTTTAGAACCATATTTTGGTTAATAAAGACTAAGAAATCTTGTTTCGAGAGGGAATTGTGTGTAATTGAAAAAATAAATCAAGCCCAGAGAGTATGTTTTGCAAAACCGAAACGAAAGGGAAAAACGTATTCGGACATGGTTTGTTAAACCGTGATAAGGAAGATACACAAACGTTTATAGTAAGACTATATCTATTTAATGTGTACTAAGTGTTACAGACTACAGTACAAAACGAGTTTATTCTTTAAAGCTGTGTAATCAGTAATTTAATAAAAAAAAAAATGCAATAATTCGCTACAGAACAGGCTTCACGGTAGTTTTTAGTGTATTAAGAGAACTGTTATTCAAGAATGTAATTGACTTTTGTTTTAACTTACAGGGCATCCAGTATTTGAGACACTCACATACTCATCGATAACATCACAGTCACTTGTCAGGACACGGTAGATATGGCGCTCACCAACTCCAGTAACACGTCCTATGAGTATGACTTCCTCGAGTATTGTGACGAAGAGGACAACACAACAGCCGTGGCCAACGTCACTATGGGCTTTCCTACCTCTATTTCCAGCATGACTGTTATACTTGTGACGTCATACTCTTTAATATGTTTTATCGGCCTGATTGGAAATGGATTGGTGATATATGTTGTTCTTCGGTTTGCTAAAATGAAGACTGTGACAAACTTATACATTTTAAATTTGGCCATATCTGACGCGTTCTTTCTCATGAGTCTACCTTTCCTGGTAACAACTTCTATTCTACATTACTGGCCATTTGGTGCAGCCATGTGTAAAATTTTCTTTGTCCTGGTGTCCATCAACCTATTCACAGGAATCTTTACACTGACCGCTCTCAGCGGTGACCGATATCTGGCGGTCTGTCATCCGGTGCGGTCAAGCCAGTACCGGACCACAAATATCGCGTTTTTTGTGTGCCTATGTCTCTGGTCAATATCCTTCGTGGTGATGTTACCCATAATTCTGTACTCGACGACTGTCCAACAGGACATGGGAAATCCGACACATGAAACCTGCACCATCGTCTGGCCAAAAGGACAGCTCATACCAGCTAGCAAAGCGTTTACTTGGTACACGTTTCTGCTTGGTTTTGCGATTCCTGTGTCCATGATATCCGTTCTTTACCTATCCGTCATTCTCCGCTTACGTACGGTTGGGCCTGTTATCAAATCGAAGGAAAAGAGGAGAACACACAGGAAAGTGACCCGGATGGTTCTTACCGTGATCTTTGTGTACATAATTTGTTGGCTTCCCTACTGGGGATTCCAAGTTCACCTCACGTTCATGAAAAGCGGATTCAGCTTACCAGAGTGGCGTGTTTACTTGTTTAGTTTTTTTACTGTCCTCACAAACGCAAACAGTATGCTCAATCCAGTACTTTACGCTTTCCTGAGCGACAACTTTCGTCGCAGTTTTGCGAAAGCATTCAAATGTCTGGGTCGAGCAGACATGGATCGTAGCATATATACCAGGGAAAGTAGCGTTCCTGCGAAAAGCAAACAATGGCGTAACGACTCGTGCAAAACACCTAAAGGAGATAAGTACGAAATGGCTACCATGCTAACAAGTACTGATAACACTCATCAGGTGCCAAAGTCAGGCAGCAAGGGATCTGTCAACGACGAGAGTAACTTATACGTAGACAAGGAGAGTCAGACCCAGTGACTGGCCAGCAGAGCGATCACGTGGTGACCTACCTTTGGCCAGAACGCGGTTCATACATTCAAAGGATAGAATACACGTGTTCGTTCAATATAAAATAATATTATTTCTTCTCTGGTAGAGATTGGCGCTTTGTTAAGCGAGAATATCGTTTGATGGAGTGTTGTACGTTACCAAATATGTAAACACGTGACTCGTCCGCCGTGATAGGACACTAATGGTTTATCATACTGTCTTTCAGTCGATTTAGGAACAAACATTTGAAGATAATTTGGACTGTATGACTGTTTGAAAGCAACACGCTATACGCACTCTGACGTGAATGAAGTTCCAATCACCTGAAACACAGTATAACATGTATTTCAATGTAATACGTGAACCGTAATGGGCCGAATTTATATGACAAATTGAGTACTACTTCTATACCTAAACCTACAGTATCTAAATGTATTGTGAAATTGTACCATACTTATGATAAATGACGTGAACATAGCTCGCCTGTCGTATACAGTGTGTGTGATATATAGTTTGTTTGTGGTAGTTGATCTTTCGTCGTATTTCAGACCCTAAGAAATCGATTGTTTGAATCCGTCAAAACGACTGGTTGGATCGTTCGGATAATTAAATCATCAGTGTTTACATTTCTACATTTGTTTTGCTTAATGTATCTATTCTATTGTTACCACCTATATTTAGGCAATGTGATAATACAGAAGAAATGTATGTTCTCTAGTGTCATCTCAACGACACAAACAACTAATCACAGTGTCATCTCAACGACACAAACAACTATATCACACTGTCATCTCATACACTCAAAATATATACAGTATCATAACGTCATCTCAAAGACACAAACAACTATATCACACTGTCATCTCATACACTCAAGATATATAACATAGCCTCATCTCAACGACACAAACAAATATATCACAATGTCATCTCACCGACACAAACAACTAATCACGGTGTCATCTCATACACTCAAAATATATATCATAGCGTCATCTCACAGTCACAAACAACTATATCACAGTGTCATCTCATACACTCAAGATATATAACAAAGCGTCGTCTCAACGACACAAACAACTATAGCACAGTGTCATCTCAACGACACAAACAACTAATCACAGTGTCATCTCATACACTCAAGATATATAACATAGCGTCATCTCACAGACACAAACAACTATATCACAGTGTCATCTCATACACTCAAAATATATATCATAGCGTCATTTCACAGACACAAACAACTATATCACAGTGTCATCTCATACACTCGAAATATATATTATAGCGTCACCTCACAGACACAAACAACTATATCACGGTGTCATCTCATACACTCAAAATATATATAGCGTCATTTCACAGACACAAACAACTATATTACAGTGTCATCTCAAACACTCAAAATATATATAATAGCGTCATTTCACAGACACAAACAACTATATCACAGTGTCATCTCAAACCCTCAAAATATATATTATAGCGTCACCTCACAGACACAAACAACTATATAACAGTGTCATCTCATACACTCAAAATATATACAGTATCATAACGTCATCTCAAAGACACAAACAACTATATCATAGCGTCATCTCACAGACACGAAAACTATATCAAAGTGTCATCTGACAGACACAAAAACTATATCAAAGTGTCATCTAACAGACACAAACACTATATCATAACGTCATTTCACAGACACAAAAATCTATATCGTAGTGTCATTTCACAGACAGCATTTATATAACAATGTCATCTCACAGACACAAAAACTAGTTCATAGTATCATCTGAGTCTCACAGACACGAACACTATATAATAGCGTCATCTCACAGACACAAAAATATATCAAAGTGTCATTTCACAGACACAAACATTATATCATAGCGTCATCTCACAGACACAACACTATATCATAGCGTCATCTCATAGATACAAAAACTATATCATAGCGTCATCTCACAGACAAAACTATATCAAAGTGGCATCTCACAGACATAAAATATGTATCATAGTGCCATCTCACATGGACGATATCTCGATTTATATTCAACACGAAAACCATTATAAATAAAAACAGACAGCGGAGCTTAACAAAGACATGATGGTTTTCAAGCTACTGGATTATTGTATTATTTTCCCTATGACACGTTAACATCCGTACCTTTTTCTAGTATTAATCATTATTCAACTTTAGTACTATAATTACTACAGGACTTCACATGCAAAGTGCTATAATAGTTTTACTGATACATTGTAAGTACAATTGTACATTTTGTGTAACACTGTCACGTGATCATCAAACAGACTTAAGTTCACGTTCAAACACATGTTAATTTTTGGTACAATTTAATGTAATGACATAATTCATTTGAACGTTAAATGTGTCATGATCCTTGAGCCATATCCTCTTTTGTTTACTTCATAGTTTATTACGATCAGCACGATACGGTTCTGGCAAAGGATATCAAACAGATCCTACTGTTTGATTGATTTATGCCATTTACTGATGTTTTGAGTTGACATCGATATTTAACAATTCCATATCAGTATTTTCACGGGGATACCGATATATGTTTACACAAATTAACTTTCTCTTTTGTATTTCAGTTTCTAAATTATCAAAACAAGAATTGTGAATTTAGGTTTTGAACATGAATCTGTTACATGTATAAAGATTTGTATAAATGTTGATTTGTGTGTTATAATGGAATCTTCAAATCGTATAACTTCTTGGAAGAATTGTTCATTCAACATAATCATGATTGTGTATTTGTTAAGATATATATGTCTACTGACATAATGTCTATATATATATTTGAAAATGAATTACGAGTTGTTATATTATGAACGAGTATATTTTCTGAATGTCTGTAGAATGTACTAGAATGGTTAACTGTTAATGTTGTTTGTGTAATAAATCATGGTTATAAAAATTGCACTGTGTTAATACTATTGCCACTTAATTGTTATATTGTAGTATTGACATATCGTTCATTGAACAAGTAAGATACTAAAAAAAAAGAATTCAAAGGTGTAAATAACACGAAAGAAAAACACAGGAATACCAAACCAGTAGACAGTAAGTTAAATTATTGTTGATATACTACAGTGCATGATAACGTATGTTTCGCTATCACATGATCATATTACAATACATAAACGCACATTTTATAACAAAATTTCAATTGAATATCTTACTTACGAGTGTCTACACTTAACCATAGATTTTCCATGTGTTGTTTAATACAAGTGAATGCTACAAGATCCCTTCTAAACAATATATTCATTACATGACCTAAGTATGTTTCATTATGACGGGAAACATCAGGACGGGAAGACTCATGACCGGAGCCCTATAGCAGGAGACATCAGTACAGGAAAAATTACAACCTGAACCCTCTAACAGGAGACACCAACACGGGAAGACTGATAAACGGAGCCCCCTAACAGGAGACACCAGTTCGTGAAAAAACATGACCGGAGCCCTCCAACAGGAGACACCAGTACGGGAAGACTCATGACCGGAGCCCTCTAACAGGAGACACCAGTACTGCAAGACTCATGACCGGAGCCCTCTAACAGGTAACACTAGTATGGGAAGACTCATGATCGGAGCCCTCCAACAGGAGACACCATTACGGGAAGACTCATGACCGGAGCCCTCTAACAGGAGACACCAGTACTGCAAGACTCATGACCGGGGCTTTCTAACAGGTAACACCAGTATGGGAAGACTCATGACCGGAGCCCTCTAACAGGAGACACAAGTACGGGAAGACTCATGACCGGATCCCTCTAACAGGAGACACCAGTACTGCAAGACTCATGACCGGGGCTTTCTTACAGGTAACACCAGTATGAGAAGACTCATAACCGGAGCCCTCTAACAGGAGACACAAATACGGGAAGACTCATGACCGGAGCCCTCTAACAGGAGACACAAGTACGGGAAGACTCATGACCGCTTGAGCCCTCTAACAGGTAACACCAGTACGAGAAGTCTCATGACCGGAGCCCTCTAACAGGTAACACCAGTATGGGAAGACTCATGACCGGAGCCCTCTAATGGGTAACACCAGTATGGGAAGACTCATGACCGGAGCCCTCTAACAGGAGACACAAGTACGGGAAGACTCATGACCGGATCCCTCTAACAGGAGACACAAGTACGGGAGGACTCATGACCGGAGCCCTCTAACAGGAGACACCAGTACGGGAAGACTCATGACTGGAGCCCTCTAACAGGTTACACCAGTACGGGAAGACTCATAACCGGAGATCTGTTGGTGTTTCTTTTTCTGATGTTAAAGTGTTGAAATATGACGATATCAAATATAAGGAAATACATTTTTCTTTATATATGTCTTATGATAACTGAAAGGGTTTCTTTTTTAAACAATGTGTAAAACTATTTATTCATACTTCTGTATCTTTAAATTGGAAAGATGTTTTCTTTTTATAACAACATCAACTGTATTTAGATTATACCATAAATCTACCACGAAGGTGAGAATGGCGACATGGCCATGTGCAGTAACATTGTAAAATAAAGGGGCGCCTTTCTCTGTTCATAGCACTATTATGTGTATCAGTTTTCTTTAGCAGTTTCTGATGGAGGGATGGTTGGGCCTAATCTTTACATAACTCGAGTTAGTTAATAATAAATTGCATGAAGCTGAAGGAAATGAGGTAAATAAGACGACTAGGTATGTCGACATTTGGAACCGTTTTCCCTATCAGGTTAACATTGTGTTTTGAATATCACATGTTTGTCTTTTGGAAACGAAGACTGCATTTTATACAGATATATAATTAAAACGAACAACGGCTGAAGGTCATGACGTCACCATGTAAGGCATTAACAATGACATATAAAGTCTTGTTAATATATATGTAATTTTTATCTTGGAATAAACATTCTATTAAAATGGAAAATGAAATCATCCCGAAATATGTCGGTTACTTAAGTTAAGGACACGTTTTACTTTAATGTCATGTTCATCTAGTGACCTCTTCATGGTTAAGTCTACTGTATTTATTTAAGCATTGAACTGGTTTTGTGTGGTATTTATGATCTATTTGAATGACACAGCTTTGCAAGCAAACAACATAATGCACGCTTCAAATAGATCATAAATACCATAAAAAACAGTTCAATACTTATATTTACGTTTTCTCTGTCTCTTATGTTCTTTTTTAACTTATAATTTATATATATAAAAAAAAAAAAATCCCGCCTTATCGACAGTCCACACAATTTCGTTCAATAGTTTGAACAGCGTATTGTCGCGTGATGATTGGAAATCAAACACTTCAACTTTATTCCACAATTCAGTATCAATACAATTGCGTATGATATGTATATAGTGTGATTTAAGTTTATCAATAGAACTCTGAGCTGAAAGTTAGATTTGAAATTGTTACGATTTTCCCCCGGAACAAATTTCGCGCATGGACAAATACAGTGAACACCGTAAATCCGACCTTGCCCTCCACGAGGGAGTTATTTTTGGAAGTTTATTCGAACTTTTCTCTTTGCTCATTTTGTGAAGAATCCAGGCGTGAATTTATTTGTTGATTGTATGGGAACCTGACAACAGTCGGTAGATTCTATAACAGCCTCGTTATTTGACCTGTCGTCAGAATTAAACTGAGGAACCGTAGATGCGAGACGCGTGAAACTGATAGCGTTTGAAGTGAGTGATCTTGCGACGGAGCACAGGTTCGTTACAA